GTTAGCTAGATTATCTTATACCTAAAATCACTACTTATGAGATATAGAAATCTATCGCTCAATTGTTAGACGGCTTATGACTTAATACGTATTTCTTATATTATTATACCTAAAAGCATTATTAATGAGATATAGAAATCTCTCGCTCAATTGTTAAACAGTTTATGACTTAATCTTTTTTATATCTAAAATCTTATTTTTAAAAGCACTACATATGATAGAAAAAAATCTCCCCCTCAATTGTTAGCAAGCTTGTCTTATACCTAAAAGCACTATATATATGATAGAGAAAATTTTTCCTCAACTCTCAATTGTTAGTTGGATTATCTTATATCTAAAAGCATTGCTTATGAGAGGGGGGAAGGGGGAGGGAGGGAGGTTGGGACTCCAGTAATATAGCTTTCAGACACGATTCTTGCTCCAATGACATGATTTCCAAGTCTTGTGACAATCAATCTAGTTCCATTACACAATCCTTCTGACTGGTCTATATTTCTTAACAACATTACTGGAGTCCCAACCTTAAGCAATCAAGGATGTTGGCATTTAACAAAATAAACAAATGCCTAGCTTCAATTGTCTTCTGTATTACTCCTTGAGGTCGCCACGTGGCATTTGTAGTTGTAGAGTAAAGGAGATAATTGCGGGGAGAAGAGCACACAGGCTTTAAAGAGGGTAAAATGGTCTTTGGAAGAGCTATTTGCTTTCTTATCTAAATCTAAAAACTTATAAATGACAATGAAAGTAAGGGCATTTTAGGTAGCAAAAAAGTGTTGGTGTAATTTTATTGCTTAATAGAGTTGCACAATACATTCAAAAGTTTGTACTTTTTAGTATTGGCCTTCTCCCTCCGTCTGGTCGCCTTCAAAGTCGTGAACTTCAACTACATTACACTGTATACATCACATCCGTTCCGTCTTCAGTCGTGTACTTTCTTTTATTGTTAATCCAAGGATCCATCTTGCTCTCTGCTACTCATTCCATTCTACCCCTTCGCATACCCCAGACCGCTCCAATCTACAATAATCCTTTCCGTTTGGGTATAAAGAAAAGGCGTTTAGCAAACAATAGTTTCTCTCTTCTTCTCGATTATCGCTGTTTGGGCTCTATTGAAGCTGCACTTACTAAAGCTGATTGAAGTCAGTTCAGATAGTGAAGTCTCGGTTCAACTATTCTTTCAGGGAAAGGTTGTTCGATGGAAAGGAATCGAAGATAAAAGAGCTCTCGTTCCAGCACCGAAACTGCCTGCCCGGAGGTGAACGAGTAGAAAGGGGAAAACGACATCTAACGGTAAATAAGACTCGCCTTTTACTCTTTCCCTTTGTGCCTTTACCGTAACTCAATGGTGTAGGTTAATTCTTTAAAATTAATACAAAGTATTTTAGGAGTGATATGGTTCTTTTACCTTGCTGCTCTGATGTCAATCTCAATGAAATTAGATGTTATGTTTTAGAGATTATTATTTTTCTTATATCATTTTTTCTGGGTGTCATACTAATCCCAGGATTTTGAGCATCATTACAAGCGTTTGGAACCTATGCAATGAATTTGTATTGCATGGCATCCTCATGAGCCACTCTAATCTTATTACAAATTATGATAAACATAAATACTAAAATAGATTTCTTGCAAATGGGTATACTGAGGTTTAAACAATCACCAGTTGATAGATTACGAATATTAATTTTAGAGTGGTAAATGAATAACATTTGGATCAAAAGCCTGTTAGATGAATGTATCTATTTCAGTTCGAAGAGATTAGATAGCTATTTTTAGGTCCGTAATTCCAGTTTCATCATCCACCTAGACCTTCAGATACCGTCACATACATTTGGTCTTTATGCTATTGATCCAATAACAACCGAAGAAGGTATATTGTATGCTCTGATTTGTTCCTGCTTCTACATTGGGTTTACAAATGGCACAAAAACATGTGCGCTTCTTGATTGTTTGAAAGAAACAGCTATTAACAGGGGTTAGATAATTACTAATCAAAATCATAATTAACATTAAAGCATAATTAGCTATTTATAACAAATATCAAATACTACACCTATTTGGAGTCAACTTTGTGTTATTTTTGAATTTGAGTTAATACGTACTCATCCTTTATTATTTTGTAAATGAAGCATGAATACGAAAAAATTATTTTTTTTTTTTATAATTTTGAGTATAAAAAATTTGTCAGTGTAACCCATACCAATATGAGCTTGTACCCTAACCTATAAAGCCAATCATCTTCAGGTTGTATTCCAGTTATGTGCAGAGTCAGGAAGCCAGGGGTGCTAGATAATGATAGCGGTACAAGTGTATTTCTTATCTAATACGGAGTAGAATCATATTTTCATGTATCTTTTCTTGAGGTGTGAATTATTTATGGTTTAATTAGAAGCTCCTTATCAAATTATATTTGCCTCTCTTTATGTCATTGGGTATAATTGGATCTATGAAAGAGGTTTGGCTGTGTCAAGCCCACTACATGGTTAGCGATTCGTGTTGCTCTCTCAGGGGTGACCGTCTCAAAGTCTCACCATAGGGTTACAATCGTAGTTGTTGGAGTTTCAGTTGGTGTCAGTTTTATTTTCCTTTTACTTGATGTATGTAATGATCCTGAATCTTTTGATATGAGTAGAGGCTTGTTTGATGATAAAAAAAAAATCAGATTTCATATCGAAAGGCATAAAGTCATTTCATTAAATAGGTATTACGTTGAAGGTCCGTATATGACTTGCTCCTATTCCATATTTCCATGTACTACTCCGTATTATGTTGCTACATATTTACTAATCTATGGAGGCATATATGTCACTTAGGTTGCCACAACCCGCTCCCGTCAATAAATCAAATTTACCAGCATTTCATACGTATTCACTCAGTCAATTAGTTTTTCTTTACAACCCAGCACTGTCAATATATTCACTCAGCACAATTTTTTTTAAATAAATGTATAAATCCTTACTTTTATTATCACACATCAATTATATGACACTTTTTTTTACAAATATTTATGATTTACAAAGTCAAACATTTTGATGTAAAATTGGGGCTTTTTTACAAAATAATGTTTTTTACAATTTTTTCCGTAGGTATTTTTTTTTTAGTTTTCAATCAAAATATGTACTAATTTGTAGTTTTCAATCAAAATATGTACTACTATATAGTATTATCAAAACATTTCAATAAATACTAACAATAAAATACAAAAAAAAAAACATAATCCTGATTTAACATAAAGGAGAAACAAATCCTAATACATAATAATAAAAGGAAAGACCACAAACATTAATGTCGAAATATATCTTATTTTTCTTAAAAAATATATTTAAGAAAAAATTTGAGTTTAAATACTCCCAACAGTTAAAAGTTAATTTTTTAATTTATATACTACCTCCGTAACACAAAGATCTTCCCATTTTGACTTTTCACGGTCTTCTAAGTTGAACTTTGACTCTAAATATCTACATATCTATATTTATAAAATTCATAATAAATTAACATTCAAATAATATGTTTTACAATGAGGTATATAAAATAAATTTTTAATCATAACATAATGTGAGTTTTGAATAATTAATGGTCAAAGTTTATAAAGTTTGACCCAAAAGAGTCAAACTCGGAAGATTCTAGGGTTACGGAGGTAGTATATGATATTGGTGTCATATGAAAGAGAATTAAAAATTAAGAATTTTTGTATATTATTTATAAAAATTGGAATAAAAAAAATTATAAAACTTTAAATAAAATTGGGGTTTATAATTTGAATGGGCCCACTCATATTCCTTACGTGCTTCAACACTCCAGCTAGCTTCTCTCTTCATCTCCCCTGTTTTTTGTCAATACCCTCTTCAATTCCCACTCCAAGTGGGATCCGGAGCCTCTGCCTTGCTTTAGAGCAAGGTAGAGTGCCTTACTTCGGGACAACCGTCTGATCAGTAATTCAACAGTCGTAGATCTTTGAATCCGCATTTTCGTTGATCTCGAGGCCGTCCTCGCTGCTGCCCGACCGTCCGATGCGCAAGGCACCCTCCTAGTCGGGCAGAAGATCCCAATCCACTCCAAGTGTAGCACCAATCCACTTTGGCCCTCTTCAATACCATGGGTTGGAGCATTTTTAGGAGTCAAAGAGTAAAGAAAACTTTTTCGCGGATGGATTGCGGACAGCCTTAGAGGATGGTCCTGGAGATTATTTGCATAGTACTCTGTTGAATTAGAAGCTATGGAATATTACTGAACATATTGATTGATGATTAGATGTCTACTTTGTACGAAGTATATCAGTTGCTGATTCATTTTGTATCTTAAATTTCTATGAAACATTTTTTTAATCTTTTAATTCGTGGATGTTCCTAACATCTGTGATGCTATTTAATTTATCTGGGTTGAGCACAAATATGTCTTTCTTTTAGCAGAGGCCAGAGGGGTGTTTAGAAAAATGGTGAGCACAATAAAGTGGGTAGAAAAATTGTTGTAAGGTCATGAAGTTGTACAATGACTGGGGTTTAATCGCCATGTTGCACCTCCGCTAGCTGCACCACCATCAGACGTAGAGATCAGTTTGATTACAGGAAAAAAAGGTCATTGAATGTATTTTCATTGGAAATAATTTTGTAGTCCCGTCAAATAAGTTGTTTATATACATGTATGATATGTATTTTTAACCCACAAAAACATAAAATATACAACTGGCTTTCTCTTTTTAAAGGAAAAATGTATATTTGACATTAGTTCAAACAACAAGGATCCTTCTGGATTCACAAAATACTACAGAAAAAATGTGTAGGAGAATAGAGGAAAACATTAACGTAAACAAAGCTAGAATTAGCTAAAAGATGAGATCATCAAGCTCAAAAAATAGATTTAGATTTTTTCCAAACTTATTTTATGAGTTGATTTCTGTTATACAAAGAGTAGGACATCTAGATGCACTTTGTAAAACATAAAGAATGATGATATTTCATTCCCTTTTGTATTTTTCAAGTTCTATCAAAGTTGTCATATTTATTGGTTTCTATTACATAAAGATTAGGAAATCTATATATACATAAAAAACTTAAAAATATAAGAAACCTAATTCCTGGCTTCTTATTCCTCAGAAGTTTAACCATTGTGATCGGAATAATTTTAGGCTAATACGGAGTATCTATCTTCTTAATATAATAAGAAAAGGAATCTTGCAGAGCAAGTTCCCGCCCAAAGGTAGTAGCTTCTAGAATTGTGATGCCACTATTACAAGAATATATACTTCGTAGCTTTTTAATTAATGAATCCGTAAAGAGAATTCTAGAGAAGATTTTTGATTGGCTATTATGGTTGAGCAAACGGCTGATGTTTGGTTTCCCCAATAAATCGATATTGGAACGAAATGCAACCGATTTATAATCCGCGAGGCAATCAGTGGTTTATATGGATAGATGCAGGAACAAGAGCAACCGGCAAAGGAGACTAAGGTTTACAGGAGCATGTGTTTTTCAGGCGGCTGAATTGGTATCCATGGGATTGAGATCTAGGTTATTCATTTAACTGTATATGAGGTCGGTGGTATAGTCGGTATCTAGGAATAGTGTATGTGGGCTTACAAATGAATGGTCTTACTTGGTTATCTAAGAATAGTTTATGTGTGTTCAAAAAAAAATGAATGTAGATAAAATTCCTTTTACTTCCATTCATAAATACTATCGGTAAGTGCTAACAGCCTAACAGTTCACTTTTGTCAATGTTGTAAGGAACTTTCACCTTCTTTCTTGGAAGTTGCCAAGAGGCATCTCACACCTTTTAAGAAGGAGCTATCCAACAAATGAACATGGGAAGAGATTTCTTGGAGATAGCTAGGAAACTCCATAGCAATGGGAATGGAAGCTTGTATGCAACTTCCTCATGTCTCCCATATACACCTATAAATAGGGAGTGTATTGTTGTTCATTTGTATCAGTTTAGAAAGTGAGAAAAGTGTGTGAAGAGTGAAATACACTTAGAGTAGAAGTGTATTGGTGAGGATTGGTTTTTTGTAATAGTTGAGTGTGAGAGTTTGCTCCTCCTATTGTAATTCTGTTCTTGATATTGAATAGAAGAATTTTCCAATCCCAACAAGTGGTATCAGAGCGAGGTTGAGTTTTCATACACTGTTTTCTCATTTTTAGATAAATTTCTACAGGTTAGAAAATCGTGATTTTTCAAGTTGCTCGGAATCACGATCTGATCATACCGTTAGATTCGTCTCGTCGAGACGAGAAATCTGGTATTTTTGGGGAATTTTTTGGCCACCGGAAGAGGCCGTACGCGCCGCCCAAATGCGCCGGAAAACTGCCTGCGTCATCATTGCGTCATCACGCAGTCCAGAGGAAGAAGACGAGCCACGTCAGCCGCCACGTCAGCCGCCATGTCAGTCCACGTAAGCGCCACGTCATCCGCCACGTCAGCCGTGCAAGCCATCCTCTGGGTGCCACGTCAACGCCACGTCATCGCCAGCGCAGAACCAGCTGTTGCCACGTCATCCGCCTGCTGGTCTGCTCACTGGGCTGCTGCTTGAACCGGACCGAACCGGTTCGTACTTGTGGAGGCCGGTTCACCCATTTTCAGACCGGTTTTGGACGAGGTCAGACCGGTTCCTACCATTTTCCGGCCATTCCGGATCCAACGGTGAGCTCCGTTTGTCCAAATTCGGCTCCGAAAATAAGGTACGAGATATTTTGAGCGTTTTATTATGGATAAATCATCATCGGACACCATGATTGCGCTCACTTCCACAAATTACAATATGTGGAAGCCTCGGATGGAGGATTTGCTAAATTTGAGGGATTTAGCCGATCATCTTGATAATAATGGCGTGAAACCGGATAAAAAGACGGATGAAGAATGGAAAAAAATGAATAGAAAAACTGTCGCACAAATTCGGCAGTGGATCGATCATAGTGTGCTCCACCATGTTGCGCAAGAACAAAGTGCTTACACACTATGGGAGAAGCTTGGTAGCATGAATCAAGCAAAAACCGCCCGAAATAAGACATTACTAATGAGGAGATTAGTAAACCACAAGTTACGAGGAGGTATTTCGGTGTCAGAACACACCAGTCAATTCCAGGATCTTGTGAATCAGTTGAGCACCACCGGATGGGTTCTCAAAGATGAAGAGCAGGCGATACTACTCTTGAGCTCTCTACCTGACAGCTGGGAGACTCTTGTTGTCACTCTCAGCAATTCTGCCCCCAATGGCAAAGTGACTATGCAGATGGTCACATATGCCCTTATGAACGAAGAAGCCCGAAGAAAAGAAGCCGGGACTGAACAATCATATGCCTTCGTGTCAGAAACCAGCAGACGAGGGGGAGGCAGAAATGGAGGAAGAAGTCGAGGTCGAGGTAGAGGCCAATGTCAAAACAGAGGAAACTCTTAAGTTCGTGGCAGATCACAAGAGAGAGGTAAGTCTTATGAAAACAATAATTGGTTTGAAGGATATTGCAATTATTGTAGTAATTATGGGCACAGAAAAAGAGATTGTAGAAAGTTTCTACGAGAACAGCCACAAACGAGTCAAAATACTAGCCAAGAAAATGGTGAGGCCATGGTTAGTTTGTCATCAGACGTGTGTCTTGTTACACATGGTGAACAAGAATGTTTACACGTAAGTACTCATGAAGTTGAGTGGGTGATTGATACAGCCGCATCATTTCACGCTACTCCACACCAGAACTTATTCACATCTTATAAGTCAGGAGACTTTGGAGCTGTGAAGATGGGAAACACGAGTTTCTCGAAGATTGTTGGCATCGGTGATGTGCACATAACAACCAATGTCGGATGCGCACTTGTGTTGAAAGATGTTCGACATGTTCCGGATCTTAGATTGAATCTTATCTCCGGTACAGCTCTGGATCAGCAAGGATATCTTAACCAATTCAAAGAAGGTACGTGGAAGTTATCTAAAGGTTCCTTGGTTGTTGCAAGAGGCCATATTTGTGGTACTCTTTATATAACTCATGCAAAGTTGTGTCATCCAAGTCTTAATGCTGTTGAAGAAGAGATATCACCAAACTTGTGGCACCGGAGGCTCGGCCACTTGAGCGTGAAGGGATTGACAACTCTTGCAAAGAAGGAAGTCATTTCCATGGGCAAAGGTGTTGCCCTAGATCCATGCGAGCACTGTCTATTCGGGAAACAACACAAGGTTTCCTTCAGTTCTACCAGGAAGAACCATTCAGAGTTACTCAATCTTGTACACTCTCATGTATGCGGACCCATTGAAGAGGAGTCATGATAAGTCCGTATTTAGACACGCATTTGATGCGTGTCCGGGTCGGATTTTGATGATTTTTCTGGCTTCAAGGCGTTGCAAGTCTCAATTTTGGCTCAAGTTGTGTTTAACAGACGTTGGATTGAGTTTCATAGCATTTGGAGTTTATTTGAAGAGGTTAGAGTCCGGCAATCGGCGCTTGAGAGGCATTCGGGAAGGATTTGAAGGCATTCGAGAAAGATTTGGAAGATTTGGAGGACACCGTGAGATTCACGACGGAATTCTGGTGAAGAAAGAGCATTTGGATCGATCTCGTAGGCATTCGGGAGCATTGGGAACGAGAAACGAAGAAAAACAATGAAGAAAAGGGCAGGCACGGCCGTGCCTAGGGCAGGCACGATCGTGCCTGCAGTTAGAATCAACGTGAAGCTACTGGCAGCCAGACACGATCGTGTCCGGTGCAGGCACGATCGTGTCTGCATATTTTTTACGCGTCCCTTCCGCAGGCACGATCCCAGGCACGATCGTGCCTGGCATCGTGTCTGGCCCCGTTTTGTCCTAAATCAGCTCAACTTCTCCTGTTTTCTATAAATAAAGCCTCCATACCCACTTTTGGGGGTTACGAACTTTGGAGAGAGGCCTAGGGACGAGTTTATCTGCGTTTTTTACGTTGTTTAATCCAAGAACCTGGGATTCTTTGTAAGTTCAATTCTTTAATTAATGACAATTATTTCTATTCATCCCAATTCTGTTGATTCTTCAATTATGAATTGTGAGTAGTTTAATTAGGGATTTGGGGTTGATGAAGGGGTTAATCATGATGTATGACTAGATTCTTGTCGGTTTAATTGCATGAATGCCGTTTAATTTGTGTATGAATTATTTAACTGATATCTCTTGTAACCTAGATGGCCACTAGAATTACAATTGCTTATAGAATAAATTAAGAGAGATCTAATTTGTTCTAGGACACATTAACACACACTTAATCGTTCGCTAAGAGATTAGTAGCGATTAAGGGGCCGTAAGCTCGTTCGTTTTGGCAATAATTTAGGATCTTGTCGCATGAGAGATCAGCCTGGACTCCTAAATTATTGTACTCTACGCCGCGAGAGCGGTAAGAACTTAGTAATGATTAGCTAGGCTCAATTAAATTAAATTCATGTGATTAGGCCTGTTCTGCCAGAAATCTGGTTAACCCCGGAATCATTTCCTATTCCCTTTGTCGTTAATTATGGAAAACCAAATCTTTTTATTCGCTCATCAGCATTAGTTTTAGTTTAATCAATCAATCAATCTCGCACAATTGCACTTTTATTTTATTTATTTCTTTTTAATCACTGAATTTAATTAATTCTTGATTCCCTTTTGTCCATCCCTGTGGAGACGATACTCGTACTTACACCACTATATTACAATCTATTTTAAGTGCGAGAAAACACACATCAGTTTTTGGCGCCGTTGCCGGGGACGGTGTCGGATTTAAGGGTTTAATTAATTTTAGCGACTTGTTTTTAGTTTTTCGTAGGATTTTTGTCTGCTAACCTTGCAGGTCAGATCTGTTTATGCATACACGCTCTAAGAAGGGAGAATCACTAGTCCCTCTTAATCTTGAAATCGAGAAGCTAGCTAAGCAGAACCGCATGGCCTTAAGAGAACAGAAAGCAACCATGGATCAACCATCCGCATCCGGAATAGCTGGGACGTCTGAGGTCCAAACCACTTCTGGTAATCTGGATTTTTATGTTAATACCTCTCCCAGTCTTCACAAGAAAATTCACCTAGAGCTTATCTGGGGTATCAAAATCTCCGTACCCCATTCTTCCACCAAAATCAGTCCACTCCACAACTAAATCTTCCACCACTCTATCAGCTCTTTCAAAACACTTCTATTGCTGCCGAAACCACCTTTCAAAACCAAACCTTTGGGATGCAAGGTCTAGGGCAAAATAATCCAGTCTTTCAGCCCAGACAGAACCAACCACCAGTCACCCAAAATCCACCCCCTACTCAGCCACAAAATCAGCCCTTCCAACCCCAATATCAACAATTCCATCAGCCCCAACCTCAGCCAAATATCATCCGTCCACAACCCATTAGACCCCAACCAGTTCATCAGCCAAGATATCAAGCTCCTCCATACCACAACTATGTCCCACATGACAATCCACTCTATCAAGGAGAGAGCATTGCAGACTTCCTAGCCCCCGAGATCACAGAGTATGTCAGTATTCAGGTACCGGGAATTACTGCACCTCGTTACGAAATCAAACCGGCGGTGATCAATATGGTCCTAAACAATCAGTTTGGAGGGAGCCCTACGGAAGATCCAGTGGCACACATTACCAAATTCCTGAGGATGTGCCAGACTTTCAAGATTCCTGGGCTAGATGACGATCAGGTACGGATGTTACTATTCCCTTTCTCTTTGAGGGATGACGCGCATAGGTGGTTGGATAGCAATCCACATCACCACATTCAGACTTGGGATCAGCTGCACAAGGCCTTCATAAAAGAATACTTCCCAACATCAAAGGCCATAAAGTTGAAGAAGCAGCTACAGGAATTCAAGCAAGGTTCTTTGGAGACACTAGCTGAGGCGTGGAAGAGGTTCAAGGTGCTGAGAAGAGCTTGCCCTCAAGGCAAGATGACTAATTGTGAGGTTCTATCTTGTTTCTACAGTGGACTCAACAATGAAGGAAAGATGATGCTTGATGCTTCGGGAGGTGGAGCTTTTCCTCAGTTGCCATCTGAGGTTGCGGAAGAATTAGTGGAGAAGATTGTGTCTAATAATGCTTCATGGTACAGTTCTCGGGACACACCTCACCAAAAGGCCCCGGGATTGTACGAGATCAGTGAGAATTCAGCCATTTCTGCAAGGGTAGATGCTTTGACCAGTTTGATTCAGAAGCTTGCTACTACAATGGAAGACAATCAAAAGAAGACGGAACTTGCTCTCTCGGTGCCCAGTGAGAATATGGTAGCCCCCGTTCCTATTAGTCCCTCCTGTACTATGTGTGGGGGACTCCATTCGCCACATGAACGCACAATGATGGCACACTCGGCAGCCCCTGGAGTAGAGCAAGTAGATGCGATGTATTATCAGCGACAGGGCTACTACAATCAGCCCTACGGACAGCAGCAGCAAGGGCAACGGAACCAAGGAAATCAGCAGCAGGCTAGAAACTATAATCAACCCCAGATACCTCAAGGCCAACAACAAGCTCCTCAATCGGCGCAAGGAAGCTTCAGAAAGGAGACTGAACAAAAAAATTCTAGCATGGAAGAAGTGTTCAACAAATTAGCACAAAATCAACTGAGGACAGACTCAAGGATAAATAATATAGAGACCCAGTTGGGGCAGATCGTTAAGGCTTTATCTGAGAGGCCTCAGGGATCCCTTCCTAGCAATACTGAACCAAACCCAAGAGAACATGTTCAGGCAGTCACCTTGAGGAGTGGAAAAGAGCTGGAACCTACTGCCATAACAAAGAAGCCCGATGAAGTTCAAGTTGAACCGGCTGTCCGGGAGGAAGATACGGAGAAAGACGAGGGAAGAGAGGTGGCGGCTGCACCAAAACAGCCCGTTCCGGTCAAAAATTACACCCCACCTCTCCCCTATCCGGCGCGATTGACTAGGAAGAACGATAGTGACCAGTTTGGTAAGTTTCTGCATCTCATGAAACAAGTGCAGATTAACTTACCATTCGTGGATGCACTAGCTCAGATTCGGGAAGTACGCGAAGTTTATGAAGGATTTGCTCACGAACAAGAGGAGGCTGGAAGAAGCGTCTACCGTAACGCTTAATGAGGAGTGCTCAGCTGTGATACGGACAGATCTGCCGAAGAAGCTTAAGGATCCAGGTTCTTTTACTATTCCCTGCTTTATAGGAGATCTTACTTTTGATAGGGCCCTGGCTGATTTGGGTGCAAGCATTAATTTGATGCCTCTTGCTTTATATGAAAAGCTTGCACTCGGTCCACTTAAACATACGCGTATGTGCATTCAGTTGGCTGATCGTTCAGTCAAATATCCCCAAGGGATTATTGAAGACGTGTTGGTTAAAGTGGACAAATTTATTTTTCCGGTGGACTTTGTTATTTTGGACATGGATCACAATCGGGAAGTACCATTGATTTTGGGCAGACCATTCTTGGCAACTGCCTGTGCACTTATTGATGTTGGAGACGGTAAGCTTGTCCTCCGCGTTGGGGATGAGTCTGCCACCTTTGACATGTCCAAAATAATGAAGAGGCCCTGTCAAGATAGTGGTGAGTGTTTTTACATGGATGTGGTGGATTCTTTGGTGGAGGATTGCATTCCTAACATGCTTTCTGATGAAGCCTTCTTTGATCTTCTTTTGGATGATAGTTTGTCAGCAGAGGATCTTGACCTCCTCCCTAGTTTTGATTGTCTTATGCTTGGTGGGGAGGAGGACTCAAGTGATGCTAGTGATGTGAAGGGGAAGGAAGATGACTTAGATAAGGTGGAGAAGGAAGACTGTCAGACTGATTCTTCTATTGTTACTCCTTCTCCATTAAATCTAAAGCCTCTTCCCTCCCACCTTGAGTATGCGTTTCTTGATGATAGTCCTGACATCCCTGTTATTCTTGCATCCGGGCTTGAGCCATCCCAAAAATCTACATGTCTTGACTTACTTTGTGAACAAAGGGAAGCTCTAGCCCGGAAACTTTCTGACATGAAAGGAATCAGTCCTGTTTTCTGCACTCATAAAATTTTGATGGAAGATAATGCTAAACCGGTAGTGCAGCCACAAAGGAGACTGAATCCTAATATGCAGGAGGTGGTCAGGGAGGAAGTCATCCGTCTGTTAGATGTAGGAATTATTTATCCAATTTCAGACAGCCCTTGGGTCAGCCCGACCCAGGTGGTTCCCAAGAAAGGGGGGATGACTGTGGTTAGGAATGAGAAAGATGAGTTGATTGCTACACGTACGGTCACCGGATGGCGGGTTTGCATTGATTACCGAAGGTTGAATGCCGCCACCCGGAAGGACCACTTCCCCCTCCCCTTCATTGATCAGATTTTAGAGAGGCTAGCAGGGCATAAGTTTTACTGTTTCCTTGACGGGATGTCGGGATACTTCCAGACCCCCATAGCTCCCGAGGATCAGGATAAGACCACTTTTACATGTCCATTCGGTACCTTTGCTTATCGGAGGATGGCGTTTGGATTATGTAATGCCCCTGCTACCTTTATGAGATGCATGCTTTCTATTTTTGGGGATTTCATTGGGAAGTTTATGGAGGTTTTTATGGATGACTTTTCTGTGTATGGTGATACTTTTGATGAGTGCTTAGAGAATTTGAAGAAAGTCCTGGTTAGGTGTCGAGAGGTGAATTTGGTACTTAACTGGGAGAAGTGCCACTTCATGGTTAGTGAGGGAGTGGTCCTAGGGCATAAGATTTCAAGTAGGGGGATTGAGGTTGATCCGGCTAAAGTTGATGTGATTTCTAAACTACCTCCCCCTACTTCGGTCCGTGCCATTAGGAGTTTTCTAGGCCACGCAGGTTTTTACCGTAGGTTCATCCAGGACTTTTCTAAGATAGCCCGACCCATGACTAAGCTCCTTGAGAAGGACACACCGTTTGACTTCTCAAAGGAGTGTTTAGAG